AATTAGTAAACATTAACACTGTATTTCTCTATTTTCTTGATAAAGTTTTTATAGAACTGAAAAATTTTCTTGAAATAAACATGCCATGTGGCCTTTACTAAGGAAATTAGCCAATTCAAGTGGCACACTACTAGAATTAACCATTTTTGTAGTCTGAATAAAGAATGTTACTAAATGCCAATGAGACACCATGTTAATTGCTTTCATGGAAGCTCCAGGTGTTTAATTAACAAATAAGAGAATATACTTCAGCTGGCATTGTCAATTTGCCAATTCTAAAACTATAATTTGTATGCACAGATGCAAAATAAGGTATATAGGAAAAGAATAAATATTTACATTGTAAACATGCTTCAACTATCATTTTACAAACAGCTTCAGTTAACGTTAACAATGAACTTGACCACCACAACATGCACGCTCATTGCAGTAATCACAGAGCCAAACATGAACCACTGAGAGTCTTGATTAATTCTATCACCCATCTTTCTTTACTTAAGCAAAGAGAAAAAATGAAAATACTTCCTAATTCAAACAATTTTAATTTTAAAAAATAAGATTCATAATTCCCATAGGAGCATGCACTTGGTTTTAGCAGTTCAAAACAGGAAAAACAATAAAAGAAAACTGTTTTTAGTTAACTACAAACTTTCTAGTTAAAAATTAAAAACAAAAATCTCAAGCAAAGAAAAATTTGTGGGTTCATGCCATCTTTCCAAGGTGCAAACGTAAACCATATAGACACTTCAAATATCAGTTCATAATTCTATAATATCTTGTGAGAGAAATGTCCAACTTAAAAAGCCCAAGTGAAAATAAATTGCCAACAACTGCTACAGAGACCATATGGAATAAGAGAAGTTCTTTTGCAACTCAAAGGAGATCATTTTAACTTGATGAAAAATATCTGGGCTTAAAAAGTTCTACATAAGAAATCAGAACTACAAACACATGAATAAGCCAAACAACCATTAAGCAAGCAGCTTAAGAACAAAAAAAGTAAATGATTAAGCTTCAGTCACCTTAGTTAATTGTTTTGTGGCATATTGTCTGAGACGAACATCAAATGATGATAATATCTCATTTGCCTATCACCCAAAAAAAAAGAAAAATTAGAAGTTAGATAGCAACCAAATTTATGTTTTTGGACACTTTATAATGGATTTGTACTCGTTAAAACTCAAAGTAACAACATCAAGTAACAATCTGCCATCTCAACCTCAAAATTGTGAAAGGAAATATATAATTAGGATAAAGAAAGGAACTTAAACCTCAATTAAGGTGACATGGATAAAATCTTTAACATGTGAGTAGCGTTCGTGGACATCTTTGATGATGAAATCACTAAGTTCACCACTGAACTCAACACCAGTAGGACCACCACCGATAACAACACAATGCAATAGTCTCTTCTTTTCATCCTCTGATATACCTGTTTATGTATATTTTTTGCATGTAAATGGCAGGAAATTAAAGTAATCGAAGATAACTAGGACAACTTTCATAGACTGAAAAATCAACACTATAACATAGAATACAATACAAATAATTGCCAAACTGGTGGAGAAGAGTATCCAATGGTAGATACATAAGCCATAAGCTTAGAATTTGGACAAATATCGAGCACATATGAGGAATGCAAACAGATGTCAAACCTATAAACATCTTTTAAACAAACTGTATATAGTATATATTCATTCATCATATATCCATGGCATTTCTGCTCACACTCATACATAAAATAACTATCTACGACAACAAACAAACAGGGATATTTCCTGACACTTATGTATTGGATTACTGGATATGTTGAAAGAAGACCTATAGAGACACTAATTAGGCAAGATGAGATCAATTAGGATTAGTGGTCCAAAGAGAGACAGAGAGACCTAACAAAATGCTACCAGAAACAATTGAAAGAAAGTTGATAGTTCATAATTTAACTAGGAACTTTGCCAGACACAGAGTTCAATAGTGTGAAATGATCTAAGTATCAAGACCCAACAGTTTGGACATTACGATGTGCTGCTGTTTTCACTGCTATATATTAACGGATCAGCAATCAAAGCTTAAGCTTTTTGGTGTTAGCCTAAATTAAATTTTCTAGGAAACCCAAGAAGGACAACTGTTCTCACATCACCATTATTAACAAAACTGAATAATTTAAATTTGTTGGAACTAATGGTGATCTATATTGCAATAAGCAAGTTCTGAACAAAGTTAATTATAAAATAAACATAAATTTCTGAATGAAATATGTAATTACTTATTAACATTTTGAAATGTGTATAAGTGCATACTCGTTAGTGTCATCTTATATAACCATTCATACTTCTACCTGACTGAGACTGCCAAGGAACTTTATTATTACTCTAAGTGCATAGAATCTACCTTTTCTTATCTCCACTTGTTGTAAAACTATCATTGAACTATTTATTTAAATCTCATCAGGCCCATATTTGTTATGATTTTTATATAATATTTGCCTTTTGCTTATTGAAATTAAATGCAGCTAATTAAATCTCCAGGCAGACATATGCTATTATATACAATATTGGGATGTTGTATAGCTACTGCATTTAACAAGCAAAAACAAGATTACTTTCACCGGAAGAAAATTGAAAAAAGAAAAGCTAACTTATGGGTCACAACTAATGAACCATGACAAAAAAAAATTATATGTGGAAAATTTGCTCCTATGACAAGCAGAAAATCAAAAGCAATTTCATTTTCAAATGAAATACCAGGCACATCAGATAGCATCAGATTGAGGAGTAGCCTTCTTCGAATTTCTTGGGCATGGTGAACTTCACGCAAAAATATTGCATGCTCTTTAACACCATTTATACCAAAAGTTGAGGCCTCTGCTCCAGCTGCAATAACCAACTTGTCATACGATACCGTAAACTTCCATGGTTCCACAGCATCTCTAACACCCCCTTGATCAGTAACAGATTCACAATGTACCTTGTATTATGACAAGAAAAAAGTCAAACTGCAATGTCATTACAATTTAACAAGTTCTGAAGCTAGAACATGTGTTTTCTTGATAAAGATAGAAACATCCAAAACTGCTAAAGTGACACCAAGAACCAACATGTCATATGACATTAAAAGCTCTGATTTATTCTCCATCCATTGCCAACACTCCTTTCCTAGCTTCTGCTGCGGCATAAACTAGCCAAAGATCCATCATTATAACTAACAACAGCCTAATAGTTCTTGACATTTTCTAAACCCATGGTTGTGTGGGCACGGGTGACTCTCACAATGGCCAAATGTCAGGCATATCACTCTGCCGATTCAACGCATTCAAAAAACAACAAAAAATGCTTCCAAAAGAAATGAAAACAAGGTAAACAAGCAGTTTTATTTGTAGCAAAAGATTATCTTCTTGAAGAAATGAAAATTGAATTTTGTTTCAGTATATGTTAATTGTATGACGAACGAATCAAAGTTCTAATATCAACAAGCGAACTCACTGTGTGCGCATCAGGGTCGATGGCGGTGCAGCGGGCGAGGAAGAAGTACGAATCGGGGGCGGTGGAGATAGCCGGCTGGATGCGACCGATGGGCTCCGCGACAGAGCGGAACTCGAGAGTGCCGACGCAGGTGGAGGCGAGGAGCGGGGTGAAGACCATGTGGTTCCGTGGGGAGACGCAGACGATGTCATAGAGGCCGGCATCGACGCTCTTCATCAGCCTGCATCCCGCCCAACCGGTCCCCAGTACCACTAACCTCGGCTTGTCCAGGCCGGGACTCGTGGGCCCGAGTCCCGCGTGGAAGGCGGATCCGGAGGAGCTGAAGCCTGCCAAACCCGGATCGGCGGAGATCGTAGAAGTGAATCGATTCGCCGGCTTCCATATGGAGGAGGAGCGGGAGAGGCGAGTGAAGCTTCGGACCCAAGCCATCAAGAGAGAGAGAGAGAGAGAGCGAGAGAGAGAGAGAGTGCCGTGAGGGATCGGATTTGAAGGAAGGGGAGGGGAGGCGGCGGAGATAGTGGCGGCAAGACGGTGGTCAGACAGAGAGCGCAAGTTAGTTGGATCTGTTGGGGAGTGAGAAAAGTGGATGGTGGATGGATGGACAGAGATCGACCGATCGCATGATTCACGGAGAGATGGATCAGATATCGGTCAACTCCGACTGCGTATTCTGCAATTTTGGGTCCCACCAAAATCGATAATATTAATTTATATATATATATATAATATTTGATGGAGGCATAAATTAATTTAGATAACATTCGATTAAAAAATAATAAAAATAGAAAATTCAAGAAAAGAAACTTTGAATCATGAGATGTTTCTCATACACATTTAGCCCACAGAATCAATCTCATGATATGATCGAATATTGTTTTCCTATATCGAATATAGTAAATATTAACCTTCACAAAGCTGTTTTTAGTGATTCGAGTAGAAAAATAAAGGATAAAAAAGTGCACAAAAATACGGCTGAAATCTTTGAGTAATAATAGTAATAGTCGTATTCTCTAATTGGATTGGACTATGCTTTTAGGTTCAGTTTCATGTGTTTGGCTCTTTCCATAATAGTTTAAGCTTTTAGAATTAATCATCACTCAATCAAAATCTTTATCATAACAAATACTCCAAACATCATTTTGCCCTTCTTTGTTCCAATTTCCAACTCTTATAAAAGATATTTTCATGCCAAAACACTCAATGGAAAGATCTAGTACAAAGATGTTGTTATTTACTTAGGTCTATTCATCAAAGATGTTCTTCCCAAAAATCATTCAAAAGATATCAACTAGTTTTAATCAGTAAATGCTTTGATCTCTTGATAGAGATATCTTGAAATCAATTCTCGTTTTTACAACTTATCCTTTGCACAAAAAAAAATATTTTCTTGATGTCCTGTGAGCTTATCATAATATTGTACACTTAATTTGATTAACCAAGTCACACTCTCTAGCATCAATGTCTTCTGCACTGTTAGTATTATTAATAAATCAGATTATGATACAATCATCTCAAATGGAACACTAAAGGCAACTCAGCATTTATACAAGCATCCTCTAACCAAAAGCCAAAACCACTCCCACATTTGTTCACTGAGGTACACAAGGAAGAACAAGAAGCTGTGGCTACAGGAGCAACAGTCATTGAACCCAAAAACCAATCCCACACTTGGATACAAATAGGACAATTTGTAGCTATGCTGTATCAGCACACTACCACCAAGGCTTCTCCGCAACTTGAGCAGGCCATCTGATCCCCCTCCATTGCTGCTTGTTACACCCTCTTCTTGGTAGCTACTTCTGTCGATGAGGCAATATCTATCTTCACAGGCCAGGAATGCCGCCTGGTCCTTGCAGAAGACAATACATTGCTCTTCGCCACTGCTGGGAATGATAAATGCTTTTTTACTAATGAGATGGATCCCTTCTCGGAAGTCTCAGGTTGATAACTTTGTGTTCCATGGAACCGTGACCTGGCTCGAGCTGATTTCGTGAGTGCCATGTAGCTCGGAGTGGTCGGTGAGCTCACCAGACTCTCACCACCCGTCATCAATGGCCCTGCAATGCTGTGCCGCCTCCGCCGTTGCTCAGGCTGAAAGCTCGGCTTGCTCCTCGGGTCACTGTCTACGGAGCACTGACCATCTCTTGGGCTCACCGATTTCTTCGTGCTTGCAGTCGATGGTGTCTTGGAGCGCGGTGTTGCCGGTGACTCTTGGCTGGAAGACTGGCTCGACTTCTGAGCTACTGATGGGGTGAAGTCCAAGCTCGTGTCGCGATGTTTCCTTGTCTGTGCCATGACGTTGCAGTTGGAACTGTTGGTGAAGGCACGGTCATTGATTTCCATCGCGCTGTTGTTCGGTGTTGCTGCCATCCACTGTGCCAACCAGCCCCATCCCCATTGTGGGTTGCTTGGCTGTGTGTGCAGGGATCTAGTAGAGCTCTTCCACTGTGCCAGAGAAAATGCATAGAATCAGAATACAAGAACAAAGAACAGTCAATAAGAAGAACAAAGAATAATAAGATTGCCTAGTTTGGAGAATATTAATTAGCATCATGTCTCATCTAAGAGCTTAAACATTTAGATACAATTAAATTGAAAAAAAAATTAAGAAAACATGACCAATAAATGATAGTGCAGTGGAGAAACTTGAGAACTGAAATATAGCGAGAATAACGGATGTGCATTGAAGAGTCGAAATGCCCACTACCTGATGAGAAAATGCATAAGCTAGTGCCCTTTCTCTTCTTACAGCAGCTTCCTGTTTGTTCAAAAGTTTTGTTTCAGCTTGCTCTTTGGATTGAGCACTATCATTCCATCCCTCTCCAATCTGTCACCGGGAATTAACCATTAGCCTAAAGATGGAAAAAGTTGATTTGTAGGAAAAGATGAGTAAAGAATTTCAGAAGATCTGCAATGTGAAAATGCATGAATAGAACACAGATGAAGAAGTGTAAAATTTTAGACTTCATCATGAATAGAAACAGTGATGCAAAGATGATGAAGTACAGAGAGAATGACTTGATCAGCATTTGCTTTGGTTCATTGTGTAAATGATGTGTAATTTTGGAAACCATCCTTCTCTACATCTAAACCACTTCTTATTACCTCATCCTTTTAACAATATCAATTCTTGCCAGCAATTTAAATTTCTCTAATTCCAAGCATCAAGGTGAAATGATATTGAAGATAGTGACATAAAAATACGTTCTCACCTTTACTACTGGTTGCTTCCCACATTTTCTTTGCAGATGCCCCTGGAGAGCCTGGTTTTGGTCCGTCATGCTGTTCCTCCTTGAATGTAGCTGTGTCTGAACTCTTGCCAGCGTTTGCAGGCACTGCAGTGTGTTTGTTGTTTGAGACTTGACAGCACTTTTGTCTACCAATCTCCTCAACCTAAGCAGTCCTCTGAGTGCTCTCCATGATCTCCTCGCCTTAACAAAATTTGCAAGAAAAGATAAATGCAGCAACACAATTAGATTATCAGCAATCAAGACCAGCATAAGATGGTAATGGAGCATCAAGATGATAGGTGCAGTAACAATTTGGACTTCACTCCCTTCCAAACTAGTTTATCATGTTATAACTAGATGTTTCCCTTAACAAATTATATCATTGCAACAGAATAGCAAAACAACTGTCCTTTTTGTACTTAAAAGAGTTACCAAACAAACTTCGCATTTATCACTTGAGCGAAAAACATCAAGTAGAGTTTTCATGATAGAGTTTGTAAACACATAGACTCATGGTTTTGCCTATATGCCAATGTTCACATCAAAAAGTTCCAAGTAAATTAGCTTCATCTAACTTGCTATATGTACTTAAGAACATATCCATTAAAATCCAATGTGTCATTGACCTTCTGTTGGTTAAAACAGGTTAATCACTTCTGAACTCAAGCTAAAATAGGAAGATTAGAACATAAAGGTTGGAAGGTTCTCCAACAACTAAAAGCCTAGGCATTGCATTCATGAAAGGACTTCAAAACTGAACAAATTATGGATCTTGTGGATGAGCAAGCACCAAAAGAACAAATTCCTGAACAACGAGACTTACCAAGTATCCACGGAACACGGCCTGGATCTTAGTGGCTGCAATTTCTCGTCTTGATTTACCTGTGAGCCTCGTTGTTAAGGTGGTGAGGCGAATGACCTCTGCAGCAGCCTGAGCAGCAACAACTGCAGCCTCTGCAGCAACAGCGCTGGCAAGAGCCACCGAGTAGGCGTGCTTGCTGTGTTCATCCTCTTTTGCTGTCAGCTCGACATCCTCAACCGGAGCAGATAACAGCGGTTGTGCAGCATTAGCTTCCAATTCTTTTGAAAGGAGTGAATCAGACAGCTTGGATTTGCCAATACTTCTCCCAAGATCACTTTGACAGCACTGTGGGACCAAAGCTCTCTTGACAGCAGTAAACCACTGCCCTTCTCTCACCATGCTCTCCTCCCGCTAAATCGCTCCTGCACATGAACCTTCATGGAATAAGAAGGTACGAAAACGCAACCAAGTCCAAGTCCTGGCTCCCCAAGCTATCCCAAATCTACCACAACCTACGGAGGCTAGAATATCCACAATGTAAAGAACATACATTTCACCTCAGTGATAAAGCTCTTGAGCTTATTAGAACAGAGATTTCCGTTTCAAAACGGAGCTTTTACAAAGAAAAATCAAAATATCCGTTTCAAGAACAGAGATTTCCGTCCCAAGAACTGTACAAGAAAAAAAATCACATGGACAGCAAAACAATTAGAAGAACAAGAACAGAGACATAACACGAAAAGCCGAAGTTTTCGATTCAAGAACGGACCATTGACAAAGATTTCATCTTTACCCAAAAGAACAGAAGCTACAAATAACCAAAATCACATTGTGAGGTGGAGAACTATGAGGACTCTTCGTTTCAAGAACAGAACTTTACTAAAGTTCGGAGCTTTTACACGAAAATATCACATGGATAGCAAACGAATTAGAAGAACAAGAACAGAGACATAACACGAAAACCCCGAAATTTTCGATTAGATAACGGAGCTTTTACAAAGATTTCATTTATACCCGGAAGAACAGAAGCTACAAATAACCAAATCACAGTGTGGGGTGGAGAACTATGAGGACTCTTCGTTTCAAGAACATAACTTTACCGAAGTTCCATCTTTACCCGGAAGAACCAGAGCTACGAAAAACCAATCACATCGGAAGGAAAACCAAGGAAGAGGAAATCACCGAACTACTCGGTTTCAGAAAAGTTGTGCAAACTTGGGATGGTACGGAGCAGAAGAGGGAACAGTTCAAGAATGATCAAGTCGGAAGCAGCAAAAGGAGACGCTCTTTGGGAATCGAAAGCCATTACTTGATGAAACGACGACGGGGAGAACGCCGAGGTGACGTGCGAGGGGGGGCACAGGGTCGGAGGCGGGAGGAGGCCAAAGACCAAAGAGAGAGCTTTTCCTGTTCCTCCTCACCAACGATGAAAGTAAACAACGAGGCCTTTCAAAGACCGGAACTTGGGAGGTTGTACGCGGCTGGCGACCGGAGCGCACGGGCACCACAGCCTGTCTTCCCCCGCGCTCTCTCGTCGCCCACTTTGGCAACAGAAGAGGGGCTGTTCCCTCTTCCGTTCCAGCTTTCTTTCTCCTCCTCTTTTAATGTGCTGGATCCGGTAACCGCCCACGTTTAACGAGGGCCGAGGTGTTGACGATGGGTAGCCCTCAGCGGTTCAAAACTGAAATTGAACTGAAATCGGGTGGCTCGCCGGTTTGAAATTGTATCTAAACCGGAAATGAACCGATTATTTATGATTCAAAAATATTTTTCCTAATTTTGAATTATAATTTTTATTTTTATTTTTATTTTTAATCACCATACAGAAACTATTGATATCGAAAGTATTTATGGATTGATCATGTCAACCTAACGCAATTGAATTAGTTTCTTGGATGCATAGACGCAAGTAGAGGTTAATGCATCAGAAGAAAAGAAAGAAGGAATAGAGACACTGTTCCCTTTGTTTGAAAAAGAATACACAACCAACTGTTTTACGATACAACACTAATATAACAATATATTCACGGATGAGAAAGAAGTCAATCAACAAAACAGGTGCCAAAGAATACATTGTTCTCCAAAATCATACAGCAAATGCAAAATGCAAGTAAAAAACATTACTAACATCAGCATGGTATTTATCTTTTCAACATCACGAGACTTCATAAATGTGAGGTCTGCTTATGTAGCTTACTGCTGCTCTTTAATGCTGGTCTTTAAGAAGTGGCAGAGAAACATATGATATAGATGCTTCTCCTACTCGATCAGAGCTTAACACCTTGAGAATCTCCTGCTGCCATGATCCACAGAGATTCAACTCTATGAATTCATTAAAGAAAAAACACCTGAAAATTTTTCAGCCACATGCACACCTCGTCCTGTGCACAACGGGTATAAACTTCAGGATCAGATAAGGTTCATGGAGAAAAAAATAGATGAAGAGAATTAAACAAAGATTACATTTTCCTTGATGAAATGCAAGCAACCATCATTTGGCAGGATATCAGAAATCTTCTTACATTTACAATCAGCTGATCGCAAGCACACTTCTGGATGACGAGTTTTCTCCTTTGCCTCAATACCTCTGCAGTTTGAATCCACTACACAAGCCATAATATTGTCGTCTCACAAGGAAGAAATAGGCATAAAGGAGATATCATTTTGCTCATATTTTCTCTAAAACAATTCCTCTGCCATGAGATTAATTAGCAAAAAGATTCTTTCATTCATTGCCAAGGTGGCTTATATGATTTATCAGCCCACCTCTGGATCCTCACTCAGCTTGCGACCGACTCCCACACAACATCTTCCTGCCGTAGACTTCAGTTGTCGGAATAATTTAGACAAAAATAATAATAATAAAGCTTCATTTATGTAAAGCTTTACCAGTGTTGCCATGATAATACATCTAAACCTCTAATCCTTGTCTGCTGCTGATCTATGCAAAATTCACAATGACTTTAATATTGCAAGATTGATATTCTAGCCTACTCACAATTAAACAACTGCATACAGATTAATTTTACAGCATAAGAATCATTTTGTATTAGAGACAAGATATCATTTGCTATTCAAACAAGATGATACTGGAATCTTCCGTGATCCTTATAAATCATTAAGTGCCCTCAACTGGTAACACAGACAAAAACACTTCATATGCCATTTTTATGACTAACCTTTAGCTGGTAAGGAGGGTCATCAAGAAAATAAGACCATTATCATAACAAAATTCATCCACATCCAGGGGGAACCAAGCAATGGTCAACCCTATAAAAAGGTATAGAGAAGACAAAACACAAGCTACTGATAATGCAATGTCAAAAAAGACAAAGAAAACATCTTTATATATAATGAAGCATAAATGTACAAGATAGCAAGTTTTTCAGCCACGAATTTTGACAACTCAAAGAGGTAACTAAAAGCTTACACTAAGCAAAGAACCCTCTCTTGCAGGCGAAAACAAAGAATTCACTGTCACAGAACGCCTTGTTGAATTCAAATTTGACTCTCTTGCTCAATCCTCTGATTCTTATTACCAAAATATCCATACCCAGGCACCTAACACGCTTAATTATCTTAATGTTGCTATCTCCTCTCCTTGATTACAAAAGTCTATATGCAGTGTCAGTCAAATGAAACTTCAACTTCAGCACCCGAACTTTCATTGGTATGTGAAGCCCAATATCAGCACAAGACAACTCACACGAATATTTATGGAGGCAGTTACTTACAAAATTTACATATATTTATAAATATAACAATCTCCAAATTACAAACCAGTCTAACTCCAACCATGAGTATGTATAAAAATGAATGCCACCAAGCATATTTTCCTCGAGTGATTGCTAACAAGGAACGATTGCCAGTGGCAGATGGTTTCTTTAGCTTATGATATTGTTAGGTGCTGATGTGCCCAAGTCAAATCAGCACTTGACCGTCCATAAGCATTTGAATGGTTGGAAGATGCCTCGTGGACATACAAGAAAATCCTTCTGTACCATCAATTACTAATTAACTTATTCTTTGAGTTCAAGACTAGACAACACATCAGACAATCAAACAGCCAAACTCAATTAACGCTCATAGGTCAACTACATTGTCTTGCAAGTTTCTGGTTTTGTCAGGTAAAGTCTACTGGAAACTTTTCATCTTTCACAGCATCACAAACTCATAAAGCATAACAGCATCAAGAGTTTTAAAGAGTTCACATCACAATATAATTAGTCTCCAAGTTGGTCCAAAGAAAGTACCACTAAATGGAGTTGTTTGTGGAAGCAGGTGATGGTAGCATAATACAGTTACAAATAGCACAATGCAAGATATAAATCAGGATTAACCCAAACATCAAAAAGAGTTACAGTATAACATATAATATAGTCAAAGACACAAAAAGAGAACCCTGAGATTATTAACGTCCCAGAATTGAATACCACTAACAGTACTTTCCTCAAAGATGATTGCTTTAAGGAAGGATTGCGAGTGGCAGATAGTCTCTTTAGCTTATGCTTTTGTTACGTGCTGATATGCACAAGTCCAATCAGCACTTGACCGTCCATAAGCGTTCGTACAGTAGAAGGTGGCCTCATGGAGACACAAGACATCCTTTTCTACCATCATTTCCTTTTCAACTACTTTAGAGTCACAAGAGAAGGCACTCAATGGACCAGGATCAGAAATCAGAACGCCAAACCCTTACCTCTCAATAGGATGAACGCATTGCCTCGGAAATTTCTGGTCGTACTAACTAAAATCAACCAGACAATCATCATCATACGCTAAGCGGATCACCTCAAACAAAAGATCGATATGGAGTCAACTAAACCATCAAAAAACGAAAGAGATTGAAATAAGTAGGAGGGAAGAGGACTACCCCATCTGTAATCGAAGAAGGCGGCGCCCGTAGGACTTCCACCTCAAAGGCGAGAGCTTTCGTTCGCCACCGACGTCATCTCTGGGTTTTGGAACGAGAGGTTGTGTTGTGCGTATGTATAGCGGAAATTTGACCTAGGGCGTAAATAATGATTAATACCGACAACAATTTCTGTGTTTCTACCAGCTATATAATTGGCGGAAATTAGTGGGGCCAATGTAAATCTATTTCTATCACAAGGTAGCGAGTGGGTGACGATGCAGAAATGGCAAATAGTACATTGTATCATGAGCGTCGGGTGGATCCAACGGCTCGGATGCCCTGCCACGTTGGGCCTCGTGATGTGTGCTATAGGATTGGGTGGGAACGGGTCGGATCCTGTTTCGGATCGGCTCAGTAATGACCCGAATTACAATCTATGCATCTACGGATACAAAAAATTGAAAGTTTGGATCATGCAATTGGGTATGCTATTCATCCCAAACCCAATAAATAATAGTAATATTAACTCACTAGTTAACGTAAAACTAGTTTTATGCATTTTGCAGATGATGATTATACTAGTTATGCTGGTTAACACCAATTATAATATATGTCAATTGTAATACTAAATATTACAATAAATTGATAAGGTATCAAATGTTATGAATTTATTTGAAATTACTTAGACATCTTTGTAATATTTATTATCCTGAAAGGGTTAACATAATTACAACCTCACACAATGCACAATACAATACGGACTTACGAAAACATAAACTTGATTAGTTTTGAAGAAAATATTATAAATAAGTTTACATGTCTTCCTTAAAATTATGGTATTTAAGTAATTCAATAAATACTTGAAAGATAAAAATGAAATAAAGATTTTGAACAGTAAAAATATTAGGATTGATATGTATTTTTAGGATTCATAATTATATTTGAATTAGTTAACAGATTCATAATTAAATTAAAATACTTTAGTGAATTAGGATTTATTCTTATAAATACATATTAGACCTATTAATGATTAAACTAATGGCCTAAACTAGGCTTAAGTAGTCGTATCATCATGTTCGAGTGATAATACTGCTTAAGTCAATCAACAAGTCTTTTTATATTCTCAAGTTTATGATTACAAGACTAAAGGTAGAGTTCTAAAAATTACTTAAAGTTGCATGGATATAATGAAAGAAAAATTATATTAAGAGTTATATCATTTGGAAGAAAATATTATAAAAATCTTAAAGGACTAAAAACTGATTGCATGTGTAGAGGATAATAGGTACCAATAACGACACGCTTCGTTCGTAGTGTAAAAATAAAGAGTGATATTCATGGTCTTCAAGATGCAGACGATTATGAGGAGAACAATCTTGCTAGTGGTAAGACAGCGAGATGAAGGTCTCTTTCCAGAATCAATCAGGTAGCATCATTGATTCAGTTTCACGGTTTCACAAGATGCATTGGCAAGTTTATTGAAATTAAGTGTTGGATCATGAATTGATTTAGTTTGTATAGTTGTGGTAAAATTTTCAAGCTAATGACTC